TTTCAATTTGCAAATACTAAGTACCGTCCGTCATTAAGAACTTGTGCATGCAAAACTTGTTGAGTGCAATGAGTCGACGTGTTTGTTTGCATATAATGATGCACCATTCATCGGCAACCCGATTGGGTAACGTGTTCTAGAACGATGCCTGTGTTCACAGATTTGTCTTTTATTGGTCACGAGATGTTTCTTTACGGATGTCTTACGATATGAAATATATTACACGCATAATAAACGCTTTGAAATAATCGAATTTGAGCAGGATATTATGTTTTCAACGATTATGAAAATTATCTGGATTAGGTAAAATGTGTACCACAATTTACACTTTACTCCGTGCCACAATACCTATAATATGATTTAGTTGCTTTTGGTGATTTAAACTCTTTTTATGAGGTCCAAATATTTGAAAATTTCGGTGAAGGGATTCGGATTTCAGCAAGTATTTTATTATTATATCAATTAAAACAGCTTGTCTGTCAGAGATTATTTCGCCTTGATTTTAAATGTCGTTATTTTATTCAAACAAATTTTTGTCGACGTTTCAGGAAGATAGGAGCTACAATTTTTGATATATTACCATGAAAACAGCTGAACATAAAGTATAAGAATTCTTACATATTTACTGTGTTAATTACAGTTATATAAACAAATTTTGTATAAGAATAAAACATATTATGTTAATCTTATTAAGATTACCTACATATAGAATTGTTAAATAAAATTTTAAGTTTAATTTACTCGTAAGACATGAAATTCAGCGCAAAAGAAAATCAATTTTATGGTCTGTTGTATACAGATAAACTTTTTAAATGATTCCGTAGAGACAATTTCATGATCTGTGATAAAAAATATAGATAAACGTTTCAAATAACTTTGTGTGTGTTTATTTGTGTAAACGGGATGCGCTTCTGTAATTGCTCTTAACGTAATCCTACTTGCATCGTTACCAGAGCTCATTATATTTTCGTAAATCAAGAAATCAACTATATTTCCCGCCGGAAACTGACAAATGCGTCCTTGTTAATTTTCCCGCGCAAGTTGACATTTTGCACGGAGCCATTTTGTTGCTCTCACATAGCAAGCGCACAATACATTTCGAAATCACTTATTTCAACGTTGAACCACAGAATAAAAATAATAGTTGGTTGAACGTAGTATTTAAAAGCTAATGGATATATATAGACTATGAACATGCATGTAAAGCTGTGAGCTTGAGATAAATTGTGTATAAGGCAAACTTTTCAATGGACAAACGAAGCTAGAAGCTAGCATGCCAGCAAGCGTTCGATTTTTTAAATTCTTGTATCGGATCAAAGTGACAGAAGTGAACGTAATAAAGTATCTAATTAATTGAATTAGTAACATGCAAGAAACCTGTGTCTGTTTTTCAGTGCCTATACTGTAAAGTCCGTGCCGTCTATCTTGGTTGGGCTGAAGTTGGTCATAGTTTTTAGGATATAGTTTTTAGGAACAAAATGGTGATAGGAATCGATAAACACAAAACAACCTGTTTCCCTAAGCTAAGATTTAGCAGCAAATATGAACTGGCACATCTCTTTCGACTAGCGTCTGTACATGTGCAAATATCTTGGAAAGCCAACTTCAGCCCGGCCAAGATAGAATAAGCGAATCCTACCACTGATTTGAATTTTTGATGTATTTAAGGGGAAAAAGAAAGAAAAGTTTCAAGGAGAACTTCTAATACAAGAAATAAAATAAGAGTTATGAGGTCATCTAAAATTTGCCTATCTAGAATAGATCGGCACGACACGGCGGACTCTTTCTGCACTATTACCCACTCTACGAGTATGGTCTAAGTAAAGAGGACCCTATCATTGATTTTATCGAAATTTGTTACATGGGACAAATAAACGTCAAGATTATTAGATAGTGATGGATAGTGATAATGATGATGATGTCCTCTTCACCGTTATCAAGTAAACATTAATCTCACATATATATAGACACAGATTTATCGCTAGTTATTTTACAACGCTGTAGTAAAAACCAAGTTAAGAGTTACCTCGATTGGAAGTGGCTACTGCAACTAAAGAACATCACATAAGCAACTAACTTGAAATTAAAAAGTCTATAGATATATTATCCACTCTGAGGACCGATGTAATATTTCACAGCCTGTCATAATACTGACTGTCAAGTCACAAATAACGCTATAATGTAGACCAAACACGACACTGTTTGAATGCACTGCTGATTGGAAACAAAAATGTGTATGAGGGTTTTTCTTATCTAGGCGAACTTCTAGGCAGTAAAAAATTCTAATATCTGGACTATATAGAGATAAAGACAAAAACCGCAGAAGCTTACGATAATGGGAACGTTCGCATATTTACATTTGTAAAATCACTTTACGTGGTAGAGCCATGCTGCAGCTGTATTAATATAGTATAATTGTAGCACGAATGGGTCTGTTCGACCAGAGAAGTACCACGCTCTCACAGAATAGCAGCGTGAAATAGCAGTTTAATACTGCTGTGTTTTTAGCGTATGGTGAGTGTAGAGAACTCGAGACCCTTTTTACAGGAAGGGTGGCATTCCATCTTAGTCCTCATGGCAGACAGCGCATCTGCATCTAATTAGTGTGGCAGCTTATAAAAGGTTTCTTTTTTTTAATAAATGCTTTTAAACATTACTAATATTCCCTTAAATCACTTCTGGTAAGCATAAAATGCTTGTGTTAGAAGTGGTTCTACTGCTGAGCACGACACCCTATCATTTTTAGGGCAAGGAAATATCCGCCTTGCTGCCCCAATGTGTATTCACAGTTCACGTCATCGACATAATTTTTATCAACTTTACTTCTTATACATGTTGGTTTCCTCACAATGTCTTTCTTCACTGACGAGTACGTGGTAAATCAGAACTTAAAATTGCTACTAACAATTTCATTGGTGTCGGCGGGGATCGAACCCAGGCTGCCTGCGGCATGCTAAGCGCCCTTGAGCTACAACAGCTCAATTATGTTATTCCGTTACTGGAATAATATGCCATTTATAATCGTGATGAGTAGATATTAAATAATAAGCTAAGCATAAATAGTGTAGTTATCTACCATTAAAATAAATGATTATGTCTTCATAAAATTATCCGTATTTGTGGGCTTATGTAAAGATACCATTACAAAGATAATATTTCCCGAAATTGCATTTTGTTGTTTCGTTGTAATATCTTGACATGTTACAATAGCCATGTTTTTTTTTTAAATTTATATCAATAGGTCTTTGTAAAGCAGTGGACTTGTGAAGGACTGTGTTAACGATGATGATGATGATAAATAGGTGCAATAACAAATTATACATTAAAACCTTTGTCGAGTTAATTTGATATCTAAATTAGATTTACAACCTACCACTACAGTCTATAACATCCCACTTGTACATATGCGCTTGTCAACAATGGATTATATCGTCCAATACTTGTATCTACCGCTACAACAGAAGTTCACTTTTTTTTCTAAAGTGTTTGAGTGTGTCATTAGCCATGTCTACATCAGTGCGCTTTCAATTTCGCTTTTATGTTCATTTTGCGTTTCAACTTTCAGTTCGTCTTGCGTCAAGCGCTTTGCCATAAGACGCATGCAGCTTATCGTCTATAGCCGTGCGCTTGTCGCATGCAACTCGTCTATACTTCACGCGCCTCAGTTAGGCAAACCACGAAGATTCGTAATTACTTTCTGTTCCAGACCCACTCCTTTTCATCGTAACTTTTTGATGTTCCTTATGTTTGTTTCCTTTGGCTCAGAGAGAGCAACGCGTTATTTCTTTTTATTTTATTTGTGTAATCTTTGTGCTGGTGGCACGTGGCAATACGTTGATAAGTTCGATAATCATCGATAAATTTTAATGCTTTTATTTAACTTTGTCTTCCGCCATTTTGTTTACTAAAATGCACGAAATGTTGCATGCCAACCCACCGGTGACGGATCAGCTTTCATTAGAGGCATGCGCTGTTGCCGGACTAGTTTTAGCGCATGCGCTATGGTTGCTCAGGCATGCGTTGGAGGAAAGCGCAAGATGAACATGAAAGCGCACTGGTGTAGACATACCTATTATGATCGACTTTTCTCTTGAAAGATCACTGAGAAAAAAAAAACAATACAATTTGTCATTTTTTGTAATCTTTCTCAGCTAATAAACAAGCTTTTACGTGTATCTGATTTTGCTGGTAACATCTGATATGATCCTAGGGCTAAATCGCCGCTTTTGGCAGCAATACAAAACTTCTTGAAGGTGTTTTTAGTCACTAGATTGCTAAATGATCTAGATGCGATGCACTGATTTTAGTGAATTTCAAAAAGAACTAACTATACTAGGTGACAGGGACCTTTTCTGCCTTAAAACCCATCTACGTTTAGATAAATGCATATTTAAAGAGAGCCAGGGTAAATTAGGTAATCATCTTGGGTTACAACACATCGGTTAACCTTCATTATCACTCCAATATTATATAAGAATGAAAGATCAATTCATCTGTATTTACTTTTTAATCCGATTTTTTAATTATTATATTTAGCTGGTCTTTTTTTTAAATATATATTTAATCTGGTTTTTTTTTGAACCAGATCTGAAGGTATTCTAGTTCACGACACTCATATGTTAGATGAGATCCTGAAGAATTTCATTGAAGCATTTGGCGCGTCTAACTGGATATCTCGATCCAGATCGGTTTGCCATGCTTGACTCCATCTAACGTATTGCTATCGCATTTACGTGTCTGAATTTCAGATTTTCTGAGTGAATAGGTCGATTTGAGTAGACCTCTGCTCATTTGAACATAAGGCTAGGGTTATCCAGGGATCGGTTTTCGTTGTTAATTTTCTGCTGCACACGAATGATTTGCTAATGTCCGCTGTTTTTGGTATGCAGGCGACAACGGCCCAAATGCTTGTAAATATTAGGGATAATCAGAAAAAGGAGCCGCGGTGTACCCCGCGCAAACTGACGTCGATTGAAAAATATTATTACAATAATACTCACTGTAAAACGTTGTCAAACGAAGCATGGTGTTGGTGCTACCCATTGTTCTTAAACTAAATCTGAAACGAAAAATATGAATGATTTAATCTAGATTAAATTAAAATTCAGTTTTTAAATTTAAAAGATTTTTAACTTTAACATTTGTTACAGCCTATCAAAAATCCAACAGGCCTCTCCCATAGATTCTCTCGTAGACCAGCGGATATTTGCCAGAGATATTTGACACGTGCGCCACGATGCCACCCTTGGCACGCGGTTTGACAACTGCAGTTTTTAATTATTTTAAGCTGTTGTCAGGTGTCAGGTATTGCTGTTAATCTCCTATTTCAGTACACCTGGTTTGCCTCTTACGACACCCACGGGATTATATGGGGTATTAGATTATTTTACACCGCCACTACAAGGCAATGTTTTAGTTATATTAAAATACATTTTCTATACACATTTACAAAAATATATATCTTTAAATTTGCTTGAATCCTTTAAACGTGTACTCCGCATATACCTTTACTATTTTATCAAACAAGTAAATGAAAATTAAAAAAAAATATTCACAAAAAATGTTTTACTTTAGTAATGCGCTCCAGAATAAATTTTTTTTCTTTGCAACCAGACTGGTTCAATAGCAAAAAATCAGTCCGAAAGGGAAAAAAATTCAACGGAAACTAATTACCTACGTAGTACATGGTTATAGTGCACAAGAGCACACTCTATTCCCTCATTTTCATAGTCCAGTGGGACGCTAATACGATAAGACCGGAGTGAGATCAGGCGGTTTTTCGTGCTTTCCGAGGCACAAGATAAAATCTTGACAAAAAAACAAAATTACTAATTTTGACTTGACTCGGGATTCGAACCCAGGAACTCATGATCGTCTCGTTAACAACCACTAGACCAACGACGCAGTTCACTTTAATATGGCCGATGAAGCCGTAAAATCCATAAGGCTAACAGCACAAACATCACCAGAAACCAGAGACTTTAATGTGGCATTCTATTCCATAATAGCAAGCGTAATTTCAACTAGCCATCATGTAAATCTCCATAGATGTGGTCGTGAAGGTTGAAAGTAAATTATGGGCATTGTTTTGTTAAGAAGCCTATAGCGTAAGTTGTTAAGGAGGGCGTTCCAATATAATGTGTAAGTGAGTGGCAAAGCGTGACCCGGGCATTACCGCGGGCTGCGTCGCTTTTGAGCCGACAAACTAATTAACTTTGTTGTGGGAAAACGCATTGTTTGCGTCTCTTCCTTTTCGGCTGATGTAAAACATTGCGTTAAATTTGTTTCAAGCATATTTAGTACAACGTGCATACCTTTTTAAGTGTTCACATTTTTAAGATATTTTTATATTCTATTTTAAAATACGCGAAGGTTGTTGTTTGATGTACACCGATGTTTAAGTTTTATTAAATAGTTATTTAGTACTTTGTTAGAAACTGCGAAAATATGATGACTAATACATTTTTGGCTGGTAATAGAGAATTTGCGTATTTAAAAGAAAAAAGTATTTCTAGAACATATGATTATAGTTAGGCTGCACCGTTGCAGCTGGCGTGGCGGTCTTATTTCTACTCGAGGTTATTCCTTTTTTTTTCAAAGAGAAGCCGGCACCGTAATAGATACTGCTGAACATCGGCCTCTCCCATAGATTGTACCATAGGGGGGATATTTGCCATAGTTGCCAAGCTTGAGAAGCGGGTTGGCAGCGACAGTTTTTTTTAGCTCAATAAATAGATGGGGATGAGTCGCTCGCGTCCGTAGGCTTCGACCACCTAATCCTAGGCCCACCCTACACGTGTCCCCCGGGTGGTGCTAAACGAGCGACAAAGCCGAAACGACAGACTCGGCTCCTCGCCGTATGGTAGCGGCGTAAAATCTACCACCCCCTTAGTTCGCACCATGAGCCTAGTAGAAAAAGAAATGGCCCCGAGTTCCCGGCGCCCCTTCAATGGGGCAGGGGTGCGAAGAATCTCCGGGAGAAAAACCGGCGACGAGGTTCGCCACCCGTCACGTCCTGTCTCCCGGAGGGGCGAAAAGTGGACTGCGGAGGCCCGTCTGGCTACGCTGAATGTATGTGGAGCAATGAATGATAAGATGGATGAAGTATGCGAAATGATGAATGATAGAGGAATAGATGTGTTATGTGTAAACGAGACGAAACGAAAGGGAAGAGATGTCACTGCACATGGCATGTATACCGCTTACTGGTCTGGAGTAGACGAGACCGAGCGGGCATGCCAGGGAGTCGGTGTCATCCTTTCAGAAAGAATGGGTCAATGTGTGAAAGAGTATGAATGTGTTAGCCCAAGGCTGCTGTGGATACGAATGAAAGTGGGCTTAAAGAAGTTGTTTGTGCTAGGGGTGTACGCCCCAGATATGTCTAAGCCCACTTATATCCGAGAGCAGTTTTGGGACATGGTAAGGCTGGTGTTGATGAAATGTAAGGAAAATGAAAATATTATTATGTTAGGAGATTTTAATGGAAGGGTGGGAGTGAAGAGGTCTGGTTATGAAAGGATATTAGGAACGTTTGGCGATGAAAGAATAAATGAGAATGGTGAAGACCTCCTCACCGTATGTGTGGAAAAGAATCTTTTTGTGGCGAACACTTTCTTTCGCCATAAGAGGATTCACATGTATACATGGGAAAGAGGGGATGATAGAAGCATGATAGATTTTATAATTGTGGATGAAAGAATGAGGAGCGCAGTGGTAGATACAAGGGTTTACCGGGGGTCCAACGTAGGGACGGATCATTACTTGGTCTTATGCCGAATTAATGGTCTATTCAGACGTTGGCGGCATCGGACATCGGTGTCTACCACTGCGTTACAGCGTATAAGAATAGAGAGGTTACAAGATGAAGGTGTGAAAGAGAAGTATAAATGCAGACTGAGGGAAAATATAAGTGGGTTGAATGAATTATGTATGAATGATTTAGAATTGAAGAATGTATGGAATAATATTAAGAAAGTTTTGGTGGATGCAGCCACCGAAGTATGCGGTGTAAGTAAGAGAACGAATGAAAGGAAAAGTAATACGTTGTGGTGGGATGATGAGGTACGGATGGAAGTTGAAGCAAAGAAGAGAGCATGGCTAGATTTACTAGCAACTAAAGCTGGTAATTCTGGCGGTATGAATGATGAGATTGAAAGAAAAAAGGCAAACTTTAGACGTATAAATAAGAGAGTAAAAGAAGTTGTTGAAAGGAAAAAGCAAGAAAGGATAGATAAAAATGATAGAAGGATATCTGATAACTTCCAGGAAAATATTAAAATGTTCTGGAAGCTCGTAAGAACTGCCAGGGGAAATTCAAAACAGCCTAGAATGAATGCTATACGAGACGAGAATGGCTGCATGCTGAATGATGAAGTTTCGAATTTAAAGAGATGGAAGGAATACTTTGAAAGCGTGTTTAAGAGTGAAGAGTCGTCTGAAATAAGTGAAATAGAAATTCCGGAAGAAGTGGAGAGAGGTAGGGAGATAAGTGTAGATGAAATAATGAAAGCAATGAAAAGCATGAAAGCAGGTAAGGCAGCCGGATATGATAGAGTATCACTCGAAATGCTAAGGGCTGGTGAGGGTGTGGTTGCAGGCCTGCTGCACACCTTGTTTAATTTATGTTGGGAACTGAAACGCGTACCGGAAGACTGGTGCAAAGCCGTTATAGTCCCAATATATAAGGGAAAGGGGTCGCAGCAGGACTGTAAAAACTACCGTGGTATCAGCTTGCTTAGCATTGTGGGTAAACTGTATGCTAAGGTGTTAATTGAAAGAGTTATGGAAGAAACTGAAGGAAAAATTTGGGATGTGCAAGCTGGATTTAGAAAGGGGATGGGGTGTACGGATCAAGTCTTTTCCATGCGCATGATAGCGGAGAAGTTTTTGGCTAAAAACCAGAAAGTTTTTTGTGCGTTCTTAGACTTGGAAAAGGCTTATGACAGAGTGGACAGGAACGTGTTATGGCAAACACTGAACTCATTTGGGTTGAGCGCTGACTTGATACAGGCATTAAGGTCTCTTTATAGGGACTCTAGTGCTTGTGTCAGGATCAACGGGGTCTACTCGGACTGGTTTGGCATTCATAAAGGTGTCAGACAGGGATGTGTGGCTTCCCCGTGGCTGTTTAACCTATTTATGGACAGTTGTTTGCAAACTTTGAAAGTTGAAGAATGTGGGTTGAGAATGGGTGAGTCAACCGTCAAATGCCTTTTGTACGCCGATGATCAAGTCATATTTGCATCGTCGGCGGCCGAGTTGCAAATGATGGTTACTTTAATGAATTGTTCATTGAAAGAAAGGGGTATGAAAGTGAACGCAAGTAAGACGAAAGTGATGGTTTTTGAAAGAGAAGAAAGTAAAACTTTATGTAAAATAAGAATAGAAGGGGAGTTGATTGAGCAAGTGGATGAGTTTGTATATTTGGGATGTTTATTTAGCAGGGATGGTAGATATGATAAGGATATAGAACGACGAGTGAACGCAGGAAATAGAGTGAATGGGGCTCTACACGCTATTGTGAGGAGTCAGAATGTGTCAACTAAGGCACGTTTGGCAATTCATAATGCTGTGTTAGTACCGACTTTAATGTATGGTAGTGAAAGTTGGGTCTGGCAGAAGAAGCATGAGAGTAGAATAAATGCTGTAGAAATGCGTTCCTTAAGGAGTATGCTAGGGCTGAATCTGAATGACAGGGTGAGAAATAGTGTAATAAGAGAAAAGTGTGGTTTGCAAGATGACGTTGTGACAAGGATTAAGAAAGGAATGCTTCGGTGGTTTGGTCACGTAGAAAGAATGAACGAGGAAAGAGTGACAAAGCAAATTTATGTTGCAGAAGTGAACGGCAGGGTCGGGAAGGGACGCCCTAGACGAAGGTTTATCGACCAGATCGGCGATACATTGAAAATGGGCCAGATTAGGAGTACCCTTAACCGACGAGCGTGTATGCGTAGATATATGGATGTGAAAGAGGCGAGAGAGGTGTGTCAGGATCGCGCCAAATGGAAGTCCGTAGTCTCTGCCTACCCCTCTGGGTGACAGGC